ATAATTTTTCTTCCATTTCATTTTCAAAATTTTTCCACTAGTTTAGCTTTTCCCACAGATAATCTCTTACTGCAATGGATACATTCTTTGAGTGCGATGCCCGTGGAGCTTTTGGAAAGCAACTGTATATGATATACTTGTTGTATACTCAGAGAAATGGCTCACAAGTTTTTTTTTTTTTTATCTAAACAGCAAATTTCTTTGTTTATGCCATGTATGCTCTTGTCATTTGTTGGTTGCAAAGCAATTTTGCTAACAAAGGTTTCATTTTCAGCTACTGAATGGGTGAAAGGGAAACAAATGGAGGAAGTCCTTTCCATTAAGAATACGTAAGTTGGATACCTTTATTGATTCTATCTAATATCCCAAGTTATGTATTTCCTTTTGGATCTTGTCTAGTAACTTAGAGCTTCTTGTGCTAGTTTTGATTGCTTTATTTATCCTTTACATTGTCCATTTTGCAAAGTCTCCTATAAGATTTTGTATATTCATGTTCCTATTGTTTTCAATTAGATTCTCTTTATTCTTAGGTGATCTTAGCATTACCAATCCTGTGTATAGTGAAAAAAAATAAAAATAATAATCTTAATTCTGCTCTCCCCTATTTTTCTATTTATTGCTTTCACAGCTTCACTTAAATTGTTGTTGTTAGTTGTTCTTTTTTAAAATTTGTAGTCTTTGTTTTGCAGTTCTTTAACCTAGTGTATTACATGTTATTTTCTTTCAAACTAAAAGCTCCAAAACATGCTTGTGAGAAATTGTAAATTGCAAGAATCAGCAGAATCTCTCTGCTACGAGTCTTGAATAGATAGATGAAGTTGGGAGATAATTCTGTGGTATGACTTATTGTTACAGTAAATAGAAGATTTGAAGGATCTGGCTGGTTGCAATTTCTAGTGCCCTTTTTGTAGTCTGTGCTGATTTTATTTATTTTTTTATTTTCGAGTTATGTTCTCCTTGGGTTGAGAACTTTCTAAAGAAAAATCTTTCGATTGCTTTTGATTTCTGTTCGTGTATTAAGGATCACGAGACATGGTGTAAGAAAGAAATTTGAGGATCGTATCTTCAAGGTTTCATTTTTCAGGATGTGATTTGACATGCATAATGTCTCTGATCTGAGTGGCGAAGTAGATAAAGTGAAAAATATGACTGCAACAAATAATGTAGAGAAACTATAATATGGTAATGGTTATCTTGTTGCTTAAGTATTAATTACTGTTGCTATTTCATGGGACATTCACTTGAAAAATTGATTGTCCCTACAAATATTTCTTGTCTATTATGCAATCTTCAGAAGTTTGTTGTGCATATTTCTATTTTGCAAATGTGCGTTTTAGGTGGTTGGTGTGGTCTATGCTTGAAACTATTTAATTTTCTAAGAAGCTTATCTCTAATTTAGCTTCAACTTTGCCCAATAATTTTTTTTTCTCGATGATATTGACGTTGTAGGGAAATTGCAAAGCATCTTTCACTTCCACCAGTGAAACTGCACTGCAGCATGCTTGCTGAAGATGCAATAAAGGCTGCTGTGAAAGATTATGAGACAAAGCGTGCAAAACCAAATTCCAGCGAAGAGGCAGCACCTGTGGAGAAAGCTGCTGATGCTTGATGATGTGTTTGTGAGGACTACCTATATGTGAGGTGTCATAGAATGTGATTAAATAATGGATTGAAGTGTACTTCCTTAAAGGCCTTTCTTTTTATTTTCCTTTACTCTCTGCCTCCCTGTAATGTTTTCAGGACATATGCAAGCGAATGTAGATACAGCCTTTTTTTTTTTTCTTTTGCTTTTTAAATTGAATGTTTACTCTTTGGGATGAATTTATTCTAGCATTACCTTTTTTTTTCCCGGCTGCATACTGTGCATGAATTATGAATATGCTATCTGCGTGTATGATGGAGAAAAGAATTTCTAGGACGTTTAAGATTCCGAGAACGCCTTGTTTCTAATTCAGATTCACTTGTTCGATTATTTGGAGGATCCTTGTTCTTTATGACTGGAGTACTGTTAGTTCATAATTTCTTTTCTTTAATGATCATATAAATCTCGACCCAAAAAAATTGGATGTGTTGCCGAGAGTCGAGGAATATTCCTCATGTTTCTTTGGGACTAGTTAATTTGGTTTTTAAGATTTTCTGCTAAGCATTTCAGGAAAAGATTCATTTCCTGTGTTGTTACTGCTCTTTGAAGAATGACTAAAATGTATTGGAGATTGCTGAGATACTTGGCAACAGGGTATACAGTGTTTTGCGAATAAATAGTCCAAGGGAAGGCGGGCATAGCCAGACAATCTGTTTAATTTTCTATAAATAACAAATTTTGAAGTATATCACTATAATTTGGAAATTCTTTGCTATTAGACAATATGTCTTGGTGTTATGATCTAGGCTGTCGACACGATTGCATTTTTTAAGGTGCAGAAACTAAATTTTGTTTAGATGATTGTCGCTCGTGGAGAAAAGTAGTGAGACTGACTACTAGTGGATAAGATTCAAGTAAATATTTTATGCAAATAGTATCCCCCACTAAGACAAACCTATCACAGGAGAGGTCTTTTTCTTAGCCGAATAAATAGTTATGTTAGGATCTGTCCTGTACTTTCTTGAAAGTTAGTAATTTTCCTTTATTTATTATTATTTTTTATAATATTACTACTTTCTTTTATTTTGTTTATTTAAATTTGCCATCAAATTTGTCATTTAACGGTCAAAATGGAGTTTACTATGAGTTTTGCTACATAATTAATAGATTGAAAATGAATTATGCTAAAAAAGTGATTGAGAATAGATTTTGTTATATGTCGTAAAATTAATAATGAAAAGTGTAAATTCCCTTAAATATAATTACAGTAGAGGAATGCATGATATTTGCCACTATGTTAGCGGCATGCACCGTGTTGCTGAGCTGAGCGTCTTTGAAAATCTAGGTTTTTTTATTAGAAAGAGTTATCGTGTAACTTGCCTGGCCAGTGAACCTGCATGTTGGGCTGGGCATGGCCCGGCCCGGTGTGGCCAAGTACGACTTGCTAAATTGGAGGGCACTAAAGAGTTGCGATCTCGGTTTGGTTTTTTCGAAGAAAATGGAATTAAATGGATAAATTTAGCTCACTTAGGTTCTTATAAAAATCGAATTGAGATATCTCTGTGTTTAGTGCTTAATCATTTGCATATGGAGTCACTCTTGTATGTATGGGAGAAATTATATTTTTTTTATAATTTAAAGTCGAAATCAAAAAATATATTTTTTATAATTTCTTCCAAACCAGCATTAAATTCCAATTTTGGTGGTCATGGCTCAAAAGTTTTGCCATTAAAGTGAGAATATCTAGTTACACAGGGAAGAATAGGTGAGGATAGTGTATATTTAAAAAAAAAAAAGAAAAAAAAAAAGAAAGGTTGAACCCCAACTTTGAGGGTCCCTATCAAGTCACCCCTAGAGTTTTGTGAGGGAGGTAAATTGCGAAATGTGCCCTAGCAGGCCAGAACTGACTGTCCACTGCGCCTACAAGAAGTCCAATTCCATATTTCAAGAATCGAACCCCTACATTACGGTTGCTAGCAAGACGTGAGATAATCTCACTCCTGTCTTTTGCACCACTAGGCTATGCCCCGGGGGGCAGGATAGAATATATTTTATTTAGTCCTATGGGTGTGGGGATCAAAAGCTGACCTTTTTTAAATTCACGTGAGGTCCACTAATTTTGTGAGAATTAGTACATCATTTTGTCAACAAGATTTTATACAAATATCTTTATCCTTTTTAAAATACGTTTTTCTCTTTTTCTTTTTTTCAATCACACGTTTTTTAATAAAATAATATTATGCGTAAATTCAAAATTTTTACTTATTTTTTAACGAAACATTCTACATCAATCTACTACTTCAAAATGTATTCTTATCCAAAAATAAGATTTAAATAGGTGTTTAGTCAAATGAAAATAAATGTATGAACTTTGTCATCATCATATGTATACTTAGTCAAATGGAAAAAATTATGTGAACTTCGTCATCATTATATTGTCTATACATGCATTGATATAAAAATTACATTAATTATTATTTCACTTTTTGCACTTGTTGAGACGACTAACTAGGTTTCTTCGTATCTTCTATTATTATCAATTAAACACTATACTAAATCCACCCCTACTTGGATTCACAATCGCAAATTAAGAAGTGTAAGTAGAGTTATTCAAAAAGAAAAAATATTCAATGAATTTTAAGTTTCAATATTTTTATAATTTTTTTATTATTCAATTGGTTTACAATATATTTTTTTTTCCTTATAACATGCTCAATTTCTAATTATTTAGCTTTAGAAAGAAGATGAAATTGTCTCTTTTCATTTTTATTTTATTTTTGAAACATTTAATAAGATTGGAAATAGAATACTTTGATTTTAAGATTAAAAAGTTAATTCCTATAGGGATTCCCGACCTTTTTGTTTGGGCCACGTCAAGTCCTCTAACTTTTTAAATTGTGCGCGCAATAACTCAACTCAACAAAAATCGTCTATTGAGATGACAAAAAGACACACGATAGGCACGTTATAGATGATTGATGGATATATTTGTTCAAGAATAGTTTCCTTCCACTTTGAATACTATTAAGTGGGTAATCTACGTTCTTCTATTCTATGAGATCTTCGAGTTGGAGGGGAATTATATTTAGAATTTGTTAGCCTTTCGTTATATTTGCCTTATAATTTAAAGGTTAAAGCAAAACTTTAACTTTAACTCCACATTTTGTATTATCAACAAATATTATCTATTTATCCATTACTCATTTCTATATAACATTATTAAAATTATAATGGGATCCAATCAAGCATTACCATGCGCACATTTTTAAAGGTTTGGGAACGTGGATGGTCCAAATGAAAAGTTGGGGTCATATGGTGGCACAAATGAAAAGGCAGGGGATCCTTAAAAGGCTGTATCATATTCAAAATAAAAGAAAAAGTCGTTTATTAGATATAGTAGATTAAAAGGGGGACATCAAATGCTCGTTGAGTTAAGGAACTCTCGAGCACAATTCCAAGAAAATAACTAAACCACTTATTCTGATTAGGAAGAATAGGCCATTCGCGCAAGAAAATTTTAGAACTACGTAGAATTTTGAAAACACGTTATAGTGCTAACTATTGGTAATTGAATATCATCTATGGTCTTAAAAGGATGAGTATTACAAAATGAGCACCTAAAGAAAAGTGCCCGAAATATCTTGCTCCTACCCATCTATAGTAAGTTTCTTCTTGAAATATGAGTTACCATGCTTGATTGCTATAGTGCCACAATACATCTTATCTTAATTTTAATTAAAAAAAAATGGAGTAATATATTTGTATGCACAACTTTAAAAAATCAGTGTTGACACATAAAAAATTTAGTCCAAATCAAACAGCTCAAGGAGTGAAGCCCAATTGGAGGATCCCCAAATCAGATAGCCCAAAGAACGAAACCCAATCGAACAAATCAAGGTGAAGGCCCAAATAAGGAGGTCCAAGAACGCGGTAACGCCATCGTCCAAGTTTGCAAGTCGCCCAGAATCTGAGCGAATGGAGTGTCATACAGTCGCCCAGAACTGTTACTCTATTCTCGCCCAAATCTTCAAGTCGTCCAAGGTCTTAACAAACATGAAGCGTCGTGGTTATCAAGAAGTGCAGTTATCAAAGCAGTTATTGAAGCAGCCCTATCACGTTCCACGATTCAAGGAATTCAATCGAAAGCGGTTGAACGATGAAGAGTAATGGCAGCAGTTAAAAAAGGCAGTTTTCATAACAAGTTGGCCATTACGAAGAAAGTGGGCAGTTATAGAACGATCAAACAGTTTTTAGAGCGGTTGATCATAAAGAGATCGTCCATGAAGTATAAAAGGGAGAAATGACATAGAAGCAAGGGACCGAATACAAAACTCTCGAACAGAGAACATGTAATTTTCATTTCCTTAGTTTTTAGATTTAAACACTTTTCTTTCAGTAACTCGTGTGCTTGCACCCCTTGGAGGCACGTTGTTTTTAATTTCCAATTGTAAAGTCATCGCCAATAAAAGAACACCCCTTTTTGGGACTTTGTCTCAAGAGGTTTGTCCCTTACACAATCGTCTGATCCTTTTTAATTGTTAGCGACTAACCCGCGCGAAACAATTTGGCACTCCCGGTGGGACAGTGGTGTTAGGTGTTGAAAGTACAAAAGGGGAAAACAATATGCCTCAGAGATCCGATAAGAAAGCAGCAAGTCAGGGAGGAATCCAGTCTGTGATCGAGCGATATGAGAAGCAGCATGCCTCTCCACGAACAGATGGACAGAATCAGAGCAGTAACAGTCATTACGAACGAATGACGGAGTTGAGTCCTCGAACCATGTGTGCATTACTTGGAGAACTCACGCAAGATGTCGTTGAACAAGTAAATCTTCGAAGTATTCATAATATGGAAAGATTTACACAAAATGGGAATGTACACTATGACAACATGGCCAAACAACTAAAAATGTTGAACGAAACAATGAATAAGTTAGTAGGCCAAATATGTCAACCGGCTATACCTCTTACAAATCACTTTCAAACTAGGACAATTGTGGGACATAATCCCTCGGTCCTAAATCCGAGTCAAGGGGTAGAACCGCTTTCTGGTCCCTCTACTTCAAACCAAGGGGGTACTACAGTGCCAAATCAAAGCAATGGTAGTGGTATGCCTAACTTGGGGGGTAATCCAAACGTGAGAGATAATGTCCTAAACAATGGACAGAATATTCCACGTGGTAATGAGGGAATAGATGTTCAGGCTAATGGTAATGGCCCTAATCATGGTAATTTTGTTGCCAATCCAGGACCAAACATCAGGTAT